AAGAGGAGGCCAAGTTAAAAATATATATATTATTCATTAAAAAGAGAACTACAATTGAAGTAATAATTAAAGATATAATTCTTAGGCTGAGTAAAGGCCAAAGTTAACAAATCAATAGCTATGTTTTACAGGCAAAATTTAATTTTTTAAAAAGAGCAGATACCTGGACATATCCTGGCAATGTTTTTTAATTAATGGGAAAAATAATTTTGCCTTGGCTGGTTTGGATCAGTGGATAGAGCATTGGCCTGTGGACTGAAAGGTCCCAGGTTCAGTTCCAGTCAAGGGCACATGCCTGGGTTGTGGACTTGATCCCCAGTAGGGGGCGTGCAGGAGGCAGCCAATCAATGATTCTCTATCATCATTGATGTTTCTATCTCTCTCTCCCTCTCCCTTCCTCTCTGAAATCAATAAAAATATATTTTAAAAAAGAAAAAATAATTTTAAGAATCAAAAAGTCATAAACCAGTCAATTCTTAAACTTCTCTGTAGCACTGCAGTTTTTCCAGAATAATGTGGGTGACTTTCAGAAAATTTTGAAAAAAAATTTATTTATTATTTTTAATTAAGATATAATTGACATATAACTTTATATTAGTTTCAGATATACAACATGATTTGATAATTGTATATATTGCTAAGGAGTCACCACAATAAGTAAGTTAGCATCTGTCACCATACAGTTATAACATTTTTTTTGGTGATGAGAACTTTTAAGATCTGCTCTTTTAGCAACTTTCAAATATACAATACAGTATTATTAACTATAGTCACCATGCTGTACATCACATCCCCTTGATTTATTTATAACTGGAAGTTTATAATAAAAAAAAAATTTGATCCTAAACTATCATACCCAGCCAAGCTGTTGTTTGTAGATGGTAGGAAAAGAGAACCTTGGATAAGGAAGGATTCAGAAAAATGCACCTGTCCCCTATTCTTCCAAAAAAAGAATATTATGAGTGAAGGAACTTCAGTTAATCAAAAGAAGGGTCAGAGTTAAGCACGTAAGAATGGGAAAGTGCGGCATAACAGAACTGGCAGTGCAAATGTAAATCAGCCAAGTATGGAGCTAAGTTTAAATAATAGTTGTAAATATGATTCAAAAGCAAATAGCAAAAGCAAAAAGTCATTCTTAAAAAATAAGATATAGTATATAAAATGATTTGATGACAACAAACTGAGCCAAATTCCAGGTTATCTTTACAAAAACCAGGGAGAAAGAAGTAAAAAGTATTTCAGATTCTGTTTCCTATCAGGAAGTTGAAAGATTTTTTTTTAACTTTTTTTTGATCACTAGGAAAACATAGATTAAAAATGTGTCAGCCCTCATCAGTTTGGCTCAGTGGATAGAGCGTCAGCCTGAGAACTGAAGGGTCCCGGGTTCGATTCTGGTCAAGGGCATGTACCTTGGTCGAGGGCACATCCCCAGTGGTTGAGGTGCAGGAGGCGGCTGATCGATATTTCTCTCATCGATGTTTCTAACACTCTATCCCTCTCCCGTCCTCTCTGTAAAAAATCAGTAAAATATATTTTTTTAAAAAATGTGTCATAAAAACTTAAAAGAAAGCCACTTGTAAAAATATATACAGTCTGGAAAAGGCAAAAGTAAGCCAATAGTGTCCAGTGTCAATCTCTGTCAACAAATTCCATTCTCTGCCTTTCCTAATATGGGGCAGGAGTTTAGACTTTTTCCTGCCCTCAAGGAGCTACAATCCAGGAGAGAAAGATGAAAACACATGACTAAAACTCAGCCTGATATGAGAGCTTGTATATGATTCTCTTTCTAGAGGACTTAGAATTCATGGTGGGACAGGGGTGACTTGGGAAGGAGGAGGTTGAGAAAGGCATCCCTTCATAACACTTACGACACTTAAATTATTTGTCTACCTTCCCTACTTCCCTTATGGTAAGTACCACAGGGCAAGGGACCTTGTCTTATTCAATGGATGGATGGATGGACGGGCGGACTCTTAGTTAATTAGACCCTTACCTTGCTCAATTCACATTTCCCCAAGGGAGTCTAATTAATGCTACATCTGGGAGTAAAGTTCACCCTCTCAACAGACATCTCTCTGTAGGTCATCCACCTTCTATACTCCAGCATAAAATTGCCAAATCATGCCTCAGTGGCCTGGAGGGAGGATATTCTTGCCTAAAGGCCCACCTCACCACCAGGAGTGCCTGCTGGGGAGCAGGGAGGCCAAGGCAATGTATTATTCTTGGTGACTCGCAGTGTTAAAATGAGAGAGCAAGAATGCATCTTTGATATTATTTTTTTCTTCCAATTTGATTTAGAGCCCAGAAAGCTCATCTGTGGCATAAATGATGTATCGGGTCAGGATGCAGTTCTCAGGGAGGAAGGGGGCCTGACAGCAGGTTGTATACCAACAACCCACTAACAGTCCTGTTGTTATCTCTGTTGGTCTTTATTTCCCTTACCCTTCCTAGGGGGAAAAATATGAAGACATTGTGCTGTCATTTGCAATACTGGCCTAGTAAACACAGGGTTAGGCTTTTAGTTCTCGGAGCACGGTCGTCATGGCAACACCAGAATCAAGGAGCAGGCCGCCTTTCGGCCATTGTCTGAAGTACAAAGTCCTTGCTCAGCTTTGCACAAGCTGGTCAAAAAACACACCCAGCCACACAGATGCAGACACCGGCAGGCAGGAACTCACATACATAGATAGGTTTTTAAATCACATAGCAAGAGGCAAGTTCCTTCCTACAGCTTTTCATGATCCAGTCCACTGAGGCCTTATTTGTCTGCTCCCCCTTCTTCTCCTTCACCTACCGATGGGAATGGGAGATACTCGCAAGACAACAAGGACAACAAGCCTTCCAGTGTTCGAGGAGCTCTCAGCCCTGTAGGTGCAGGTCTGCTCTGCACGTTCTTGAAACACAGCTCCCTGGGACCGACTGCCATGGTTCACTGGTTAGTGTGAAAGTTACATCTTGTCCCGATGGCGATAGGAGGACGGGGCCTGGACATGCGTGGTGGAGCATGTTGGTGGCCTCCTTGCCTGCAGCTGTCAGACCTGCTGCTGACCTGAACCAGCCTGCCCTTCCATGGGAATCCGGGCCCAGCACACTCAGCCAGGAGAGAAACTGTGCAGACTTTTTTTGTCTTAACTTTATGTGCTTCTTTGGGAGTTTGGGGTCTGAATGTATGGGAACCTAAATAAATGAGGACATTCAGCTCCTTGCCCCATTTCCTCAAGGATTCTAATTAATGGGTGTATCTCCATAGGTCTCTGACCCCCGTGGCTCAGGTCTTCTACTCCTAATTCTGGCCCCGAGGCCCTGGCCCCAATGACATATTAAGGATATACTTGGTGGCTATTGACCTTCTGGACTCTTTGGGGCTGATCCATGCAACTATGAATGAAAGACACTCCTTCCATCCTGCCCTGGGGTGTCCTAAGGCCAGGTCAGTCCAGCCTTCCCAACCAGGACCGGACACATACAAGCATCTGCGAGTTGTCTGATGGAGCTAGCATAAAAAATTTAAGTGGGAGGTATCAGGAAACCACTCTGTTTCCTGCTAAACAGTCTGGACTTCATCCTGCAGACACAGGAGCCATTGAAGGGCATGATGTAGGGGACCGGCAGGTTCTGGTTTGCCTTCTCCTGGGTTACAATGGTGGTGACAGAGAGGGTGTATTGGAGGGAGAGAAACTTGGAACAAAGGGAACATTTGGCTTGGGAGGATGTTGCAATAGTCCAGGCAAGACCGAAAAGGAAAGACCGGCTTCCCGGCCACTCGCTGCTGGTATCCCCAACCAGGAACCCTCTGGACATGGGAGCAGGAGAGACCTAGGTCCTTTTTACTCGTCCTGGTGGTTCTATAACCTTCCGTCCTGGTTCTGATTCTTACATTTGATGACTAACGCTTACTCCATCACCTCATCATTCTCTTCCTGCTTCCCTTCGTCTCCCTTCCCCTCTCCTTCCCTCCCTCCCTCCCTCCCTGCCACCCTCTCTCCCTCCTCCTTCTCCATTCTCTCTTTCTCTCTCTCTCCCCACCCACCCCCATCTCCCTCTGCTGCTGCTTCTCCCTCTCCCCACCTCCATCTCTCTCTTCCCCTCCCTCCCTCTTTCTCTCTCTGTCTGGAACAGCCTGGAGCAATAAACCTTGCCTCCTGCCTCTAGCTCAAGCCTTTCTAAAAGGAGAAAAAAAGAAAAGTAAAACAGAAAAGCAAGCCAGACCTATAAAAAGAATAACTGAAGAACAGTCCGCTCGTGTCTGGGAGAGACAGTATGATGCAGAGAGCACAGCTGCCCTCACCACTTTAAGACAGAAGCCTCTAGGGCAGCCGTGGGCAAACTACGGCCCGCGGGCCGGATCCGGCCCGTTTGAAATGAATAAAACTAAAAAAAAAAAAGACCGTACCCTTTTATGTAATGATGTTTACTTTGAATTTATATTAGTTCACACAAACACTCCATCCATGCTTTTGTTCCGGCCCTCCGGTCCAGTTTAAGAACCCATTGTGGCCCTCGAGTCAAAAAGTTTGCCCACCCCTGCTCTAGGGTCAGGAGAACCAACAAAGGTTTGGTCTCCCAGAGTCTGGAACCCCTGGGATGCTTCACACATATTCAAAACAGCTTTTGTCATGGATCCCATCATCTCAGAGCCTGGAGGAGGCAATCACAGCCTTCGCCAATGATCCTGCCACTCCGGTGGAAATAGAAACCCATTAAACAGCACCCCACATTCTGGCTTCCCTTGTGACCATCCACCACCTTCCACGTGCCCAGAACTATCGTCAGTAACGATCCCAGGCCCCAGCAACCTGTTTACAAACATCTAGGATTCCCAGGCACTTCAGGATGTTTCCAAGCAGGCAGCAAAGTCTTCTCTGAGAGAAGCCGTCCCTTCAGATCTATTTATGTAAACACTTGCCAAGGAAACAAGGCATGTGGGCATGCGCGGCCCTGCCAGCCCTGGGGTTGCTGCAAAAGGCAACTGGAAAGTCACATGTCCCAACAGTGGAAAATACATATGCAGCTATTCTTAGCCCTGGAATGTATACACCGTCTCCCTGCCCAGCAGTTCTGTCACAAAGCTCTAGAAAACTGTGAAAGCGCCTGTAGCATAAACAAATCCAGAACTCTCCCAGGACCAACCATTTGTCAACTGAAGGAAAGGCCCAGGTTTATGGTTTCACTTGGAGCCAGAGGTGGAAACTCCGGCGGGACCAGTCGGACGAGGCATCGGTGGCTATCACTGCAGCCAAACAAGGTAAATGTCTCTAACGTTTCCCTCTTCTGCAGGTGGACTGCCAGGTGTCGAGCAATACACCCCGCCCAGGGTATTATTGGGGCTCTGCTTTCTATTTATCCCATCTTTAAAACAAAACCCTAACGAATTTGTGAAGTCATGTTTCAATAAATGTATTGCAAAAGTCCCTTTTCATCCCTCGTTTCTGTCTGGTTACCAGAGGGCCACACCCCCCCGAATGACAAGCTTGGGGAATGACTAACACCCAGAAAGATGCTGAGATGAGTTCACTAAATAACAGAAGGCTGAGAATCTGGAGAAAGGCTCACAGACTTCCGCTGGTCAAGTGCACGGGCTGTTTATTTTGCTTCCGGCTAACATTTCAGCCCCCGACAATCAGTAACTTCCTACAACCTTCGTTGTTTTTGTTTGCTTGTTTTTTTCTCAGATTATCTGAAGATGTTATTTGCCTGTTACCTTTCAGAGCAATCATAACCAAAAAGAGAGGTGTCGGCTGTGGGGTCTGGAGTGTGGGTGGCCTCCCTCTGCAATCTTCACTAAGCGATATTCTTGGCCATACCCACAGGCACTGGTGAGTGGACACAGATGCTCTAAGTCTCCGAGCTGCAACAGCTAAACCCTCCAGCACATGCTCCCTCTTGGAACTCCCCTTCACCCCCCTTCTTTGCAGGATGGACAAGGAGTCAGCAGATGGGCTGCTCTTCAAAGACCACGACTTCTCCTCTGACTTGTTGAGGCAGCTCAATGACTTAAGACAAAGCGGAATCCTGACGGATGTAATCATCTGTGTTGGGGCCTGGGAGGTCCCCTGCCACCGAAACGTGCTGGCCTCCAGCAGCCCCTACTTCCGGGCCATGTTCTGCAGCAACTTCCGGGAGAGCGGGGAGGCCAAGGTCCAGCTGAGAGGCATCGACTCCACGACCCTGGAGCAGCTCGTCCTGTATGTGTACACGGGGGAGGTGCCCATCACGGCTGAGAACGTTCTGCCCTTGCTGGAGGCTGCCTCCATGCTGCAGTACCCCAAGCTCTTTGAGGCCTGCTCCTCCTACCTGCAGAGCCAGCTGACCCCCAGCAACTGCCTGGGCATGATCAGACTCTCGGAGATCCTCAGCTGCGAGACCCTCAAGAAGACGGCCAGGGAGGTGGCCCTGACGTACTTCCCAGAGGTGGCCGCATCCGCTGACCTGAAGGAGCTCTGTGCCTTGGAATTGAGAGACTACCTGGGGGACGATGGGCTGTGCGGGGAGGAGGAAAAGGTGTTTGAGGCCTTTATGGGTTGGGTCAAGCATGACCTCCAGACCCGGAAGCGATACATGCAGGAACTGTTCAAGCTCGTCAGGCTTCCGTACATCCACCCGGCCTTCTTCCACCACTTCATCGCCAACGATGCCCTCCTTCAGTCCTCGCCCTCATGCCAGATCATCTTGGAGATGGCCAGGAGGCAGATGTTTTCTTTGTATGGCACCACCAGTGCCCCAGACCTCCAACCTCCATGGCACGTGCCCCCAAGGAACTCTTACCAAGACTTCCTCATCCTCTTGGGTGGGAGGAAGGACAACCAGCAGACCACCAGGGACGTTCTGCTGTACCATAGACAGACAGGCCAATGGCGGAGCCTCGCCAAACTCCCCACCCGGCTCTACAAGGCCGCAGCCGTTGCCTTGCACCGCAGCGTCTATGTGCTGGGAGGCATGGCCGTGGGCACAGAGAAGAGTGAGCCCAGTCGCCACGTCTACATCTTCTCCCTGAAACTCAATCAGTGGAGGCTGGGACAGCCCATGCTGGCGGCCCGCTACTCCCACAGAAGCACCTCCAATAAGAACTTCATCTTCTCCATCGGGGGGATTGGAGAAGGGCAGGAGGTCTTGGGCTCCATGGAGAGATATGACAGCATCTGCAATGCCTGGGAGCATATGGCCAGCATGCCAGTGGGGGTTCTGCACCCTGCAGTTGCTGTGAAAGACCAAAGACTCTACCTTTTTGGGGGAGAGGACATTATGCAGAACCCTGTGCGCCTTATCCAGGTAAATGGCTGGTCCTTCTCATCATGTAAGTGCATAAGTGTGTACCCCCTCCACATGCACACACACAAACACACACATATAAATACTCACATAACACACACATACACACTTGTCATCTGCAGGGAAGTGGGGGGGGGAGAAGGGAAAGAAGGAAGAAAGAGAGGGAGGAAGGAAGTTTAATTTCAACAAGATTTTATCCATTTATGAATTATTTTGTGTAAGGTTCATATATACAAAGGTACGTCAGATACAACCATGAATGTAAAGGTGAAGAACATAGACTCTGGACTCAACCAGACCAGCTCTTCTTCTCACTCTAGCTGTGTGACTTTGGGAATGTCACTTAACCTCTCTGAACCTCAATGTCTAATCTGAAAATGGGGGTAAGTAATATTACCTACTTCATTGGATGGTTGTGATGATAAAATTTGGTAAACTGATTTTTAAAAAATAATAAGGCCTTTATATGATGGCAATTATATTTTACATAGGAAGAATTTCCAGTGAATAATACTGAGCAATTTTCCTCTATAAATGAATACTTTTGCTCCTTTTTTCTTTTTTTCTTTTTTTACAGAGAGGAAGGGAGAGAGAGAGTTAGAAACATCAATGAGAGAGAAACATCGATCAGCTGCCTCCTGCACACCCCCAACTGGGGATGTGCCTGCAACCAGGGTACATGCCCTTGACCAGAATCGAACCTGGGACCCTTCAGTCCGCAGACCGACGCTCTATCCACTGAGCCAAACTGGTTAGGACTGCTCCTGTTTTCTTATATGAAGTCCATTCTATCTCTCTTGTGCTAAATTCTGCCAGTAATGAACTAATTTACATTTGATATTTGAACTTTAAAATGATAAAATTACCAGGAAAACAAGTTCTGGGGATCCTGATTTGCTCTGTTTCCGAGTGCAGCCCATCTCTGTGCTCTGTTTGCCTTTCCTCGTGCTTCATGTTGTATATGGTTCTAATGATTCTCGAGCATGAGCTGTCCAAAAGCCTTCCTCACGTAGCCCCAGACTTGCTCTTGGCTCCAAGACCCTCCCGGATACACTGGAACAATTAGACATTTAAACATGAGCTAGAAATGAAAATAACCGAAAAAGCACTGGTTTCATGACCATCAAGTAGCTCCATTTATCATTAAAAGAAAAAATTGTCCCGAGCAAGGAAAGCAAACACATGCTACAATGCATAACTCTTGGTCCATTTTATAGAAACACAGCCTCTGATCTCATGGGGGTCACATGAAGACCAATTTCTAGTAATATTCTTCTTTCTGTTATTTAATTATATTTTTTATTGATAGTAATATACCTACATTCTAAAAATTGGAAAAATCTCTCCCATTTCACCCTTTCATTACTACTTTTTAAAGAGGACCATGTTTTCTTAAATGTGTTTTTATTGATTTTAGAGAGAGAGGAAAGGAGAGGGAGAGAGAAACATTGATGGAGAGAAAAACATCAATCATCGATCGGTTGCTTCCTACACACACCCCACTGGGGATTGAGCCCACAAACCAGGCATGTGCCCTGACAGGGAATTGAACGTCTCGCTGCATGGGAAGATGCTCAACCAACTGAGCCACACCTTCCGGGGCTTCATTACTACTTCTGTCTTTTGAAAATATCACTTTAAAATACAGCGCCATGATTATATCTCCCCCTCAGGTTTATCACATTTCCAGAAACACGTGGTTCAAAATGGAGACGAGAATGATCAAGAATGTGTGTGCCCCCGCAGTGGTGCTTGGGGAGCGGATTGTCATCGTGGGAGGTGAGTCTGAGCAGAGGATCGCCAGGCTGGGCACAACTTGGCATCGGCCATGGAAAAAGGGTCACTAATAGACGGACGTTGTTCTCCAAGACTGTCTGTAAAATCACATCCCTCTGGCTGAGGGAGTGTGGACAACTTGACAAAGTTCTTTTCCCCTCCAGAAGTTTCTCCCTGTCATTTTCTGTAAACAGGAATGAAATAATGCCTTATTTCACAGAGTTGCTGTGATAATAAAACATACTCACGTATTGAAAGCACGTGGCATGGTCCCAGACACGTGGCAAATACTCAAAACACGTTTGCTCTTGTTAACATTAGCTACTGATGGATCATTCCTCTGTAATCACAGTGTAGTGTCGTGGTTAAGAGGACTGGTTTGGGGGTCCAACAGATCTGGGTTCACATCCTGCCTCTGCCACTCCCTGGCTGGATACTCTTTGGCAAGTTATTACTCTGTTGTGCCTCAGTTTGCTCATCTGTAAAATGGAGATCCTCAGAGGGCCCCACCTGATAAGGCTGTCGGGGGGACCCATGAGTTCCCAAAGGTTCCTTCTTTGGATTGTGGTAGCTCTGGAGTGGGCGTGTGAGCGGGATGAAGAAGCCAGTGAGGCTGAGAAAGTCACTGGAATCAGGAGGCTGCTCCCCATCGAAAACGGGCCATATGCTGCCTTAACTTGGGGTTAGGGATGCAGAGGCCAAACCCCATCCCTGCGGCACACTAAACCTTGGGCAGGATACAGGTTAACGTTCCACGCTGTAGTTCAGATTCCAGCCTCAGTGTTAGGCGAGGGCAGAGATCAGACACGTACCCAGACCGCTGACCTCCACTCCCAGATGAGCAATGCTGACCTTGCTGCTGTACCACTTGGCTTTCAGGTTACACAAGGAGGATTCTGGCTTATGACCCTCAGTCCAACAAATTTGTCAAATGTGCGGACATGAAAGACCGGAGGATGCACCACGGGGCGGCGGTGATGGGGAACAAGCTCTACGTGACGGGCGGCCGGCGGCTGACCACGGACTGCCGCATCGAGGACTCGGCCTCCTTTGACTGCTACGACCCCGAGACGGACACCTGGACCTCGCAGGGACAGCTGCCTCACAAACTCTTTGACCACGCCTGCCTCACTCTCCAGTGCATTCCCCACGCCTCCACCTTCTCCTGAGGTCGATGAGAAACCAAAAAACCGGCTGTGTTAGTCCAGACCTTCTTGTTGCAAGAGACAGAACCCAACTCCAAAAAGCTTAACCCTAAACAGGTGCAGCGAGAGCTCACGAGACTCAAAGCTCCAGAGCTGGAGGCCTGGAACCAGGCCTATTGTTGGCAAAATTCTCTCTCATTCTCTCTCTCTCTCTCTCTCTCTCTCTCTCTCCCACCCTCCCTCCCTCTCTGGCTTTGTTCTCCACACAGTGTGAGGACAAATCCAGACTCACATTTTCTAGCTTAGCATCTTCAGGAGAAACTTTACCATTATCCATATATTAACCCTAAAAAGAAGTAAACAGTGCTGTTTGGCCCTTTTTGAATTCCATGCAACCTCTTGGGATCATACTACCATAACTGGCTACTCCTGGATGGCGTCCCTACAGGCAGAGGTGGGGTTAATGATCGTGGACAACCTATCTGAACGGCACTTAATGGCATAGAAGTGGTTCCCCAAAGGAAGACATGCTGGGCTGACAAAAGCCACATCTGCCCGAACACCATGGAGACTGGGAAGAGGAGGGCGAAGAGCCCCTGGAAGCCCTTGGTCCGGGTGGCAGCATGAGCAGTGGCCATGGCTGAGTGTCCCTGAGGCCAGGGATGCGGTGCATTGGAATTCCAGAAAGTATGTGCAGCATTGTCTGTGCTGCCAGAATAAAGTTTGCTTCTGTTGCCAAGAGATGTTTTTTCTCCAGCCTCTGGGGAGCTATAAACCTGCAGAATTAATCAGGATTTTCATTTTGGTAAATGTTATGAGAATTGCTCTTCTGAGGAAAGCCAACAAATTCCTTCAGAGATTACAGCAATTACTGCCCTCCCAGTGCTGGGGCTGACTTTCCCTGTGGCCTTCTTTATCTCAAAGTGCCTCCCACGCTGGGCCCAGTCCCGGGCGCAGGAATAAGCGGAAGCTGGAGGCACATTACAATCACCTGGGAAGATGTTTGAACATGGGACTGATCCCCAGTGGAGAGGGACAGATGGGGATTCTCAGAGGCGGGGCCCAGAGCTCTGTAGTTTTGAAAAGCATCCTAGGTCATTATAAGGTGCAGTCAAAACCACCTCACTGCTCATCTGTGGGCACTGAAGACCTTCATATGCGGGTCCCATACCCATCCTGTCCCAGCCAGCCCTGTCCCAGCCCAACGGTGTATGCAAAGTCCTCTCCCCACCTATGGGAGCACCTGGAACGAGTCTTGCTGCCCTGAGTCTGGCACCACAGGCCCATGCTCTGGACTTTCCATGTGTGATAGAAGCCTCCCCCAACCCTTGCTCAAGAGATCTCTATTATTTCCGCCCCCTCTTTCTTGTCTGAGGGCCTTTGCATTTGCAATTGCCCCTGCCTAATACACACCTCTCTCACCTCTTCACCTGACCTAATTTCAATTTATACCTTACACACCAGATTTGGTAAAAGTCACTGAATCAAGGAGACCTTTCATGTACCCACC